TGCTGCTGTTTTTGGCTGACGATCTCGCGTAAAAATGCCCTTTTTGTTGCCGCCCACACGAGATATTTCTGGCGAAAATGACATTAGCAAATTAGTAAAATCATAAACTGAGTTCATTTCCATTACTTACGCTGCTTGGTCATAAAGTCGGCAAAGTTCCAGATGTGCTCGCCAATGAAGAAACCCTTGCTGCGAAGGGCATCAAAGCCACGATGATACTCCACCATAAACTCCGTCTGGTAGTCTTCGCTGAAGATAAAGCTCGGCTCAGTGTGCAGACCGGCAATGGTGTCGGCGCCGTACTCGCTCACCATCACCGGCTTCTTGAACTTCTCGTGAAAGTGCGTCAGATCGGCGACAATCTTTCCCTGGATCACCTGCGGGAAGCCGGTGTCGCTGTACCAGCCAAAGTATCGGTTGATCATCAGCACGTCCAGCGACAGCGCCATATGGTCAGAGTGGTAGTCGGCGTTGATGGCACCGGTGATGGGCCGCTTGGCAGGGTCAGTAGACCGGGCCAGATCAGCGATGGTCTCAAAGTAGGCCTTTGCCTCGGGTTTACTGGAGGCCGGCTCATTGGCGATGGACCACATGAACACCGAGGGGCGGTTTTTGTCGCGCTCAATCAGCTCATTTATGGTGTGCTTGTGGAGGTTCAGCATAACCGAGTTGAACTCGCTCAGGCCGACGGCGGGCACCTCGTCGATGACGATGATTCCCTGGCTGTCCGCCTCGTCCATGATCGCCTCCGAGTAGGGGTAGTGTGAGGTGCGGAAGGAGTTGGCGCCTATCCACTTGATCAAATTGAAGTCCTTGAGGATAGTCGCCTGGTCGAGGCTGCGGCCGCGAATCTAGTAGTAGTGATAAACAGTTTAAAACAGAGTTTTTACAAATCATCGTTCCGTTTCACTTACATCTTGATCTTCGTGTTTACCGAAACCGCGCAGATACACCGCCTTTCCATTGACCAGCAGTTGGCTGCCCTTCACCTCGACATGACGAATGCCCACCTTTTGATAGATGGTGTCCTGGTGAGCTCCACCCGAGCTAACTCGAACCGCCAGTGTGTACAAGTACCCAGGCGTCTTGGACATCGTGAATGGCCACCAGAGGTTGGCTTTGGGAACGGTAAGCTCGCCTGCGGTTGCTGTGGCGCCCTTCCTCGAGGCGACCACCTTTCCCTCGTGGTCAGCCAGCTCAAAGTCAAGCGTGATGCCCGCCGTTTTAGAGAGCTTCACCTCGTAGCGGACCACTCCGGTGCTCTGATCCGCCGCCTGAACACTGGTCACCACCGTCAGATCGGTGACCCGAATAGCCGGCACGTGGGAAAGCACCACCGAGCGGTGAATGCCGGCGTAGTTGAAGAAGTCAAAGCTGGGGTTGATCTCGTAGAAAACGGCCGAAGCCTTTCTACTGTCATTCTTTGCGTACACGTGCCCGGGTGG